AAAAAAAAAAAAACAGAAAGAAAGAAAAAGAAATCTGGTGTAGGATGTTTTGCGTTTAAGGTGCCTGTAGGACATACATGAGGAACTGACTTGTGGGTGCAGGAAAGCTGGAGTTGAGGATTTTCAAGTCATTTCCAGGGACATGCTAATCGAAACCCTCGGGAAAAGATGAGCTCGTCCAGGGCTAGTTCTGAGAAGTGGCCAAGGGCATACATTATACCATGAGACAAGGGACAAAGGCAGACTTTTCTGGAATAGCCTGACCCTATGTGGAGACTAGTGAAATACAATTCAGACGACCAGTTCTGAGGTTTCAGCCTCAGCCTGCCTTTGCTGCGATCATGTTGGCCAAAGTGACCTTGTCTCCACTCAGCAACTATCCTCAGAAGCCTTAGGGGTTGGCAGAACAGTAGAGCTACTCAGCCTGGGAAACTTTCGGTTCTGGTTAATGCTTTTTTATCTGAAGCTAAAGGAGGAATTTGATTTCCCACTAGCTCTGGAGTCTCAGTGTCTAAACAGCTAATGTGTTATTTAAAGCGAGATGGTGACAATGAGATCGAAATCTGGACATTGGATTGGTTGGAAGTCTTGTGTCTAAAATACACTGGGTTAGCTATGTGAGGAGAAAAATTCTCCATTGTACCAAAATAAATTTATGATAGACATGAGATTTAAACGTTAAAAAGATGAAACTGTAAAGTACTTGAATAAAACAAAAAAGTGTTGCAAAGCAAACTTTTCAAGCCATACTTCTAGAATTTTATGTGAAATCACCCCGTTTTTTATTTTAAAACATTTTAAGCTGCTACAAATTATAAAAACACTCCACAGGCTGCCAGTTTTGCAAACTTGGTTTTAGATCGCCTGGAATAATTGGTGGGGTGAGGGACATTGGCCAGTTTTTGCTGGGGCTGGCAGGGTATGAGGGAAGTTCTTGCAGGACTGGGTCAGTATTAATCTGGACTTTGGGACAGGGATTTGCCAGGCTGGTGTGGTGGTCACTTTGCAGGCAGGGGACCACTGTTGCATCTAGGGATCTGAGTCGTGTGTGACTGCTGGATATTAGGGCTCGGGGAGGAGTAATGGGGTATGTGGCCTGAATGTGGACGGCCTGACTGCCGAGGAGCCTGGACTTCTCTTAAGTGAGTGATGAAGCCTCAGAAGGGGGCTAAGGCTGGTGGGGGAGGCAATTCTCTCCACTTTTTGGGTGGATGTGAGGATGTGGAGGCCTGTGAAGGAGTGGTGGGCTGCCCACAGCTGTGGCTTCTCCGTCTCTCCCATCTGATTGATTTAACTTTGGTGTTCGCACAGCACACCTTGACGCAGAAGGTGGCCTCCCGTGGAGCAGCTGCCTTCTCAGCTGCTGGCGCTCCAGGCTTTCTGCAGCCTAATCCCACCCCCTGTCAGCATTCCCTGCCACCCAGTCTGCTTTTAGCCACATCACAACTTAGTCACAGCTTGTCTAGGGTGGACTTTTCAGTGCTGGGCAGGGGAAGTGGAGTAGAAAGTGGGAGGGAAGGTTGGAGAGCCCCCAGGATAGCAGCTTGCGGCTTGGATAATGTTCCTTTTAGGATGGATGCCAGCCTCATCCTGTTACCACATAGAGCCTTGCTAGAGAGGAAATGCTTGGGGAAGAAAATTAGTGTCCCCATCCTCTCACCTGCCCGGCTCACTCCCACAGCCTCTAATGCGCAGCTCAGGAGTTATCTGTTAATGCCGTCCCCAGGTGTATGACCTCCTCCTGGGATGGCAGTGGTCTTCCTGTTTTAGCATGCTAGGGGACCTCAGTTCCTCCCTCTTCCTGCTAAACCTCTCTCTCCAAAACCTGCAGAATCCATCCCATTCTTCTCACTTCCGTGGCTACCATCCTCATCTAAGCCACCATCATTTTTCTCCTGGACCACTGCTCTTGACCTTCATTCTCCTTTCTACAAAGCAGACAGTGATCTTTAAACACTCAAATAGGAGCGTGGCATGGCTTTTCTTAAAGGATTCCTGCATTGGATAAAGCCCGACCTCTGCAGTCCCTCTTCACTTCAGTGCGTCTGCTGTCCCCTTTGCTCCTACATGCTGGCCACACTGGCCTGAGGATGGTGGTTTCTGGAAAAAACCAAGTCCCTTCCCATCTCAGGACCTTTGCACTGCTCTTCCCTGTGCCTGGAATGTGCTTTCCCAGGCTCTTCCCAGGCTGTGTGGAGGTGTGTGAATAATTGTGAAAGCCTCAGAGTAAACATATTCCCAGAGGCCTTTTCAAGTATGTTATTTAAAAGAGGCCCACCCATTCTCAGTCCGTTACACATTCTGTTTACTTATAGTGCTTTTGACAATCTGAAATTGTTTTGTATATTTGTTTATCTGTCTCCTACTGAAAGGGAAACCCCTTGAAGGTTAGTCATTGTT